GCAGCCTGCCGCTCGCCGCTCGCCTCCCGAGCCCTGCGCGTCGCCTCCCGGCCGGAGGAGGAGGTGGAGGAGGAGGAGGCGGCGCCGCCTTCCCCGCGCCGCGCGCCCTCGCCGTTGTCTTCTCTCCGCTCTGGACCAGTTTGGGGAAGTTGCCGGGGCCCCGTGTCGCCCAGATGTGCGACCTCATTGAGCCCCAGCCGGCCGAGAAGATCGGCAAGATGAAGAAGTTGCGGAGAACTTTGTCGGAGAGTTTCAGCCGCATTGGTGAGTGGCGCGCTGCCCCGGGCACCCGGCCCGGCGCCCCGGCGCCCGCTCCCTCGCCCCGCGCTTCTGGCGCTAGCCAGGCGGCGGCCACCCGGGGCTGGCGTGGGGGGCGCGGCGCGGCGCTGCGCGCGGAGGGTGGAGGGAACAGTGCCGGGACCTGGGGGAGGGCGGCGACGGAAACGAGAGACACCCCTCTCCCTCAGATTCGGGAGATTCATTTATGGATGATCTTAAGCCAACAGTTTGGGTCCCCTTGCCTCGCCACTAGCGCTCGGGCTCTCGCGCCCGCGGGGGACAGGCGAGGGAACGCCCCGGCCCCCGCTGCGCGCGGGGCTGCGCGGCCGCCTGGGTCACTTGTTATTTTTTGCGCGCAGGCTTTGGTATTGGGTGTGTAGTCAATAATTTAGCGTTTGAAATTGGTGAAACGTTGAGTTGTGCCTTGGTATTGTTTAACACATCCAACCTAAGGAGAAGTGGGACAGATACCATGGGACCTTTTGTTCGGTACTTCGAGTCCTCGAAAGCGAGCTTTGGGTGTTCTGCCCCGAGGTCTCTGAATCTTTCCATTGCTGCAGAGAAATGCGCGCTGTGAACTTGGAACATTTAGGAATGTCTTCCGAACTTCTTCCATTTACTAGAGCTCCTGCTATTGTCTTCAAACCGACCAACCGACCAACAAATAAAAACCGACCGAGAAATGTTTTTAGGACATTTAAGAATAAATTCATGTCACAGACTATAACAGGGTGACAACAGTATCACATGGAATGGGTTTGTTAGATTTCTAGGGTTGGCCATAGAAAAACCTCTTTGAACCTTACTTAAGACGGTAGCAGCCTCCTCTAACATCATAATTTTCATTTATACCGGTAACTGCTTTCAGCAAGAAAATCGCACAAGCGCTAAGAATAACCCCTCAGAGTCCCTAAGAAGCCTTCTAGCCTTTGTTTCCCTTGTTTAACGTGTCATCCACGTTAATGAAGGTGTTAAGGGAAATTAAGCATAAGGTGCTTAATTCCTTAAAATAAACCCCTGGAGCGCATATGAGTATTGTAGCCATCCTTCCATCCATTTATTTAAAAATCATTATATAAGTGCATTGTAAAGTATGTAAACTTTCTTCAAGTAAGAGAAAATATGGATCAAAATTTAGCCTAGCTTTCTTTGTTGTCTTTTAACTTAAAATTTCATAGAGGTATCCAAAAGCTTTCCCAAGGTGACTGTCAAGTTATGGTGTGAATCCAATATGTGTTCCTGGTTTTATTTATTAAATGTATTGGATATTTGAATTTCACTCTGACAAGTTAGAGTTGCATACGAAGAGTCCCTACATTCAAATGAAGTTTGAAGCCAAGAAGAGTGCGAGACAGCAAGGTGTTGAGTCCTGTTCCTTGTTAAGGAGGATGTTTCAGCCCCCCACCCGGGCCATCACACAGGCGGATTCTGGAGTCCATTAAGCCCTGTTCTAAAACACATTAACTGTATATTTACTAATGCTAATGACTCTGTTGGAGCCCTTCCAGTTTTATGTTAAATAATTCATTGCAATTGAGTCTCAGTAAGAAACCAAGGAAATTAATATAAAAAATTCCTTATGTTTAAATAATTTCAAGGTTTTGATCGACAATCAGTGAGATTTGGATTAACTACAGTCCTGGCAAATGGGGTATTATAGTTAATTGGATTTTCTAGCTTACTGAGATTTAGTGATGTGAAACTCCTTTTGATTCCAACTCTTGTTAAAATGTCTTCTAAGATCTAGTAGATTTTATTCCCCCCCTTTCAGAAACAGTACAGTGCAGTGAACATAACTGATTATTTCTTGTATTGATGGAGGATCGTGATTCTGAATGGCAAATCTCATTCTGGAATACTGTAAAAGGAGATAAGGAGGTTTTAAGTGGTTATGATTGTATACCAAGCCCGAGACATTCATTAGAAGTAACATTACAGAAAAATAAATCTTTCTTATCTATGTATTTTCTTGATATTTTATTTGCAAAATCAAAAAGCAAGGAGATCAATCTGATTATTTAAGGATTTTTAAGGTACTGGAGGATGTTGAATTGAGGCTTTACTATGGGATTATATAGTGCATACATTAAGGATGTGGGCTGTGTGTCAGACTGACTGGGGATTTCTGGTGTTGCCACTTGTAGCTGAGTGACCTTGGACAGGTCCTTCAACTTCTGAGCTTCAGTTTTTCATGTACAACTCAGTTTTGTTATTAGCACTTAATGAAATAATGCATATGGTGACCTGTGTGGTGAGTAATAAAGACTCGGTAGCTGCTTGTGATATGTTATTATCATTATTAATGATTGTATCATGCTGACATAATTGATCTTCTAGTGGAAAGCAAGAGAAGTAAGGGAAGAAGTGGCCACTGACTTTACAGTTTAGCTAACCTGGAAACAGGATAGGGTTTGGAGTTAGGCTGGTCTGGGTTCGAACCCCATTTTCCCTGCTTGCTGTGTGTCTTGGTCAGCTAGCAGAATTTCCCTAAACCCCAGAGTCCTCATCTGTAAATTTTCTTAAGGTTGTTGTGAAGATTAAATCGGATAAAATACATAAAATATCTAGTGCAATATCTGTCACATGGTGAAGATCAATACTGGAGGCTGTTATTATTCCTTCTGATTTCTCTGTTTATCCCCTGTCTTCCTCCTTTCTCCATTGGTACTTCAGGAGGGGATCAAAGAGTGAATGGTTTATTCCTATTGAATAACCCAACATCTCACTATATTCACTCCCTTTAACCATTCTATGATGGCTTTTGATACAAACATACTGACTTTATTTTGCTTTTTTAGTATAATTCAGAAGTGTAGCTTGTTCTATGGTAAAATATGCAGTATCATTGTTTAGCCATAAGAAATTAGTGATCATTTGTAGAAAATGAGGACAATTTTTGAAAGCATGTGATATCCAATCATGTTTATTAGTAATAATTCTGACTATATAAAACTGAATAAAAGCAGCAATGCTAATGTTTAATTTATTCACACGTGAAAAATCATGCCAACTTTGTTACTGCCTACGCCAAAATACAGCTGATCTGAGATTACTGTATTATAAAAGGTCTAATAAAACACATTGGCTTTCAAGCCATAGCACTCTAATTTGTGACATCTGCCAGGGAGTGACTATAATACAGTTATGGTTCTTTTATAAGATGGATGCAATTGAATTTCAAAGTCATCCATTGATTTTAGTAGTGAGTATTTAGAGTTTTCTGCTAAATAGTGTCAGTGTGTTCGATTACTTAGGAATTACTTTGGTTGTCTCCTGTTTTCTGTTTTTTTTTTTTAATTTAGGTTAGTATAAACAGAGACAAATTGGAACTTTATGGTTAAAAAGTTTACATTAAAATCCATTTTCTCTTTTCTTTCCTTGTTTCTTTTTTATTGTGAGTGACAGCCTAGGAGGAGAAAGGCTTTCTGTAATATCTGGTGTAAGATTAGGTCAAGCTGACATTTGTTCATAATCATTTGAATGCATTTCTTCACACTTATTTGGATTATCTCTTAGAGAAAGGAAGTTTATACTCTGCGATATTTGAGATGAACCCCATGTATACTATTTCTTTAAAAGATGTAGTTTGTGAGAGAACTGAATAGAAGGAAGAGGCTGTGGTTACACTGCATTTTTGGGTTTGTTACCTTGTGCTGTAAGTGTGTAATTGTAGAGTCCAGCTGTCATTTGATGAATCCGTTCTGTCAGAAAAGAGAAATGTGAGGTTAAAGGTTCAGACACAAATTTTAACTATTGTACCGTATCCTCTCCCAATGTAGTTTCAAAAGATGTTAATTTGAAAACTGTGAAATGGAGTTTATATCTATAATCCTTTCATGAGAGAGAATAGTGTATGGTTTTCATATGCCAAAACTTTAGTGTGTCTCAAAATATAAGATGGTATCCTTTTACCATTGAGGTAGAACTCATTAATTCAACAGATAATTATCAGGTACCTCCTGTGTGCTAGATATTGTGCTGGCATTCAGATTTGGTGACCGTTGTTACTAGTCCTGGTCCTTAAGGACTTTAAGAGAGACAGGCCAATGAATGGGCGTTGACAATACAGAGTGACAAATTCTACCATAAAGATGAGCATAATTTGCTATTGGAGCGCATAGGAGGGCCACCACTTTAGTCTTGGTGAGATCATGGAAAACTTTCTCGAGGAAGCAATGTCTGAGCAGAGGAGTGAATAGAATATGCGATTATCTTAAATTGGTTAATATATGCCCCTTTGTTAACCAAGAAAAGTGTAATATGCCTGTTATCCCATGATATCCTTGACAACAGTTCTGGGTTTACATTTACATGAATAATTAATAACAATCAGGGAATGTAATCAATAACGAGATGTTGTGTGCTTGTTTAGGTCAGAGCTTATTCATCAATGACCTGATAAATATTTGGCATAGACACCTTTCATTGGCCTTTGTTGTTACTTTTAACTGCTGTTCAGGGCAAGGATTCAATATTTAGAAGAAACTGGTAAGGTGTTGTTCTAGCAATGAAGGGTTTCAGTTAAGACTTCTTGGTCTTAAGATGTTTTCCCATATGGTATCCTGGGCTTGAGAGTAGTGTGCAGGGCGGAGAATCTGGCTTCCTGCTCCTTATATCTTAGAAAATACACCTGCAATTCCCTCTTCTATTTCCTCCTTTTCTTTCTACCTACAGACCCCACCCCTTTATCCAGAATTGTAGGGGAATTGAGAGGACTTGGGGGCAGCAAGAAAATAGTTTAGTCTGGGTGTCAAAGACATTCTAGTTTTCTGTTTTCTTCAACTCTCAACTTGAGAGTCTTCATTTCATGTTTGCAATTCCCTAAGGGATTGTATCAACTGTAGTTCTTATTGGCTGCTTTGCTTAAGAAAACCCATGGCTAAGTTTCCAGAACTTTTGTCATGTCCAAAGTAAATATATTTAAAAGTTTGTACTGTGAATTATAAGCTAGCTGCTGTAGCTTTGCATCTTGCATGGCAGCCACATAATGTGTTTTCCATTAATCTTTGTTAAATGAGCTAGTATGAGGCTGTACGATAATTGACTTTGTATTTGAAATCAATGAGCTAATCATTTCTTATTCCAAAAAAATTATTTATTTAGATGGAGCAATTTGTCTGTATTTACATAGGTCACTAATATTTTGAAAAGGAATCACTAGTCAAGTATGTTAATTAAAGGACGTGCCTTGGGTTGAAGGAGTGAGGGGTATAGTCTAGGAACATTGTTGACTGATATTTAAAGAAAGACTTCTAGATTAGAAGTTTTACATTCCAAGTTAAAAGGTAGCCATTAAGAATCATGTAGGATCTTATATCTTTCTATCAAAATAGGTTATTTTAGATTTAATGTAACAAGTCAAATACATAATAAAATATGTGTGAGAAATTGAATGCGAGATAAGCCTTTTGAGACTGGGACAAAGCCTGTCTTTTTGTTTTCCATTCAGAAGAAATTGTTCTCTAATAAAGGAAGTAGAGAAATCTATTACAGATCAGTTTCTTTTTTTTTTTTTTTTTAAAGATTTTATTTATTTATTTTTTCCCCCAAAGCCCCAGCAGATAGTTGTATGTCATAGCTGCACATCCTTCTAGTTGCTGTATGTGGGACACGGCCTCAGCATGGCCGGAGAAGCGGTGCGTCGGTGCACGCCCAGGATCCGAACCCGGGCCGCCAGCAGCGGAGCGCGTGCACTTAACCGCTAAGCCACCGGGCCGGCCCGCAGATCAGTTTCTTAGGCAAAAGGGGAAGACTAAGAATTAAACTTTCAGAAACATTTTATCTCCCTCAACCTACCCTCATCCCCCTTAACTCACCACCACAACTACATAGTTGTTGATGTTTTAAAAAGACAAATTTGTAGTATGAAACAGAGAAAACCTTTTCAAGATTGCTAGACTGTATAATATAAGCTTTGATATGATAGCTTCATTTTAGGCACACGACCTCTCTGAGCTTAATTGCCAAAATAATTTGCTTTTCATTGCTTCTATCAGAACATAGCTTTCCAAGTAAGAGCTACCAAATGCTTCTATCCAGAATAGAACTATCCAGTATAGACAGTAAACACCTATGCACAATTCTATAAATTTGAAACACTTCTCCAGCTAGTGGTTTCAGCTAAATTAGCTACTATGTTTCAGCTAAATTAGCTACTTTGTGCATTTACCTTAATATGAAACAATCTAAGTAATTTTAGAATTTAAGGAATTAGGTGTTTTCCAACTATGCATGAAATACTTCTCTTTCTCTTTAGAGGGATAAAATTCCAGTTCTGAAGCCACGTATACTTAAAATAAATTTTGAGTATTTTCTAGTTCTTATAAAATATTCTGAATGTATCATTTCCTTTGGTGATACCTTGTTATAAAATTTATCATGTGGAAATGTTTGGATGTCTCTGTAGTGCTTATTTTACATGCTTGGTTTTTTTCGTCACGGTACTTAAACTTCTCTAGGATGAAGATCTCATTCAGGGCACTGTGCAAAGTGTGTCATCCTAACAATTGGTTTGGGAGCTCCATACACCAGGTGTAATGATATATGCTCAAAAACCAGAAGTTTAAGGGGAAATTTCTTTAAGATTACTTTTTGATTCTTTCATTAAAATATTTTCCTACTAAAGAAGTGATAGGGGAAAGATATGCATACTTCTTTTCTATCCTTGGGAGGATAGATCAATTTACATATTTATGAAAGTATTTCACAAAAAGGCACGCTGTGCAATTTTCTCTGTCATTTGCAGTTTTTGTATTTGTATCATAACTGTTATTCAGGATGGGGTACGATTTTACTTTCTGAAATGAAAACACCATACTGCTTTGTTTTTTTTTCTGTTTTCTAGAACTTAGATACTTGGTCTCTTTGAGATGTTTCACAATAACTGTTTCCTTTCCCCTTTTTATTTTATAGCTTTGAAGAAAGATGACACCACCTTTGATGAGGTAGGTTAAATTTCTTTATCTAGTGTTAGATGTATTTAATTACTGCCAGGTAAAGTCAATAGGTGCCAACTTCACACTTAGAAGCAGAAAAAAAAATACTTTTAAAAAAACAAGAGATGACATTTCTTTATTTAGTTACAGTATATTATTTTTCAATTTTAAATAATCATTCAAATGAATTTTGGTGGCAATCAAGAGAAATATGTCTTTTTAAGTTAATAGACAAAAGACACCCACAGACTTTTGTCTTGTTGCCTTCTTGATGGTGGTAGTGCCAGTGAAACCCAACGTTGTGTGTGTGCTTAGGGCAAGTCTGGCGCTGTTGGAGAGCTGGGCTCCTTTGTAGCCCTCCTCTGAATCAGGGTGTGATGCGACAGTGACGCCACATATTGTCTGTCAGACTCCCAAAGGAGGAGCTGACTTTTCCTGTTCTAGTTTTCCTATTCTTTGTGTATCAGATCTGTCTTTATCTACTTGCTACAAAGTAGCAAAAAAGCCTGTTTAAATAAGGCAGAGGGTCCATATGTAATTAATAGTGTTCAGAATGTGATTTTTTTCAATTGGACTCAAGTTTTTTTGTAGTATCAGTGGGAATCACCAGAGAAATAATGTGTTTACAAAATGTTCCCAAGAGTGCTATAGAGTGAAGTGTTTCATTGTTGCCATCCAAAGCCACAGTAATTGATCTGTGTTGTAAACTGGGCTGTGTGTGTATATATATATTTTGCATGTTTATATATGAACACAGATGTATCTACTCGATGTGCTTATCCTGCAGTGTAATGAAAGCATGGATTAGTTTGATTGTGGTTGCTTGATTTGTTTTAACAGTTGCAGATTCCGTGAAATATGCTACCTGTCCTCCCTCTGCTGCACTTCTTCAGAGAGGAAAGGACATATGTGCTCATGGAAAGTCCCCTTAGCCATGTGGCTGGCTGTGGTGCAGGGCAGGACCACTCAGGGAGAACCTGCTCCAGACCGGGATTTCTGGATGGGGCCAGTGACATTTGGCTCTCACGGTCTGCTGCTTCATCTGCTGCACCTGTTCTTTCTTTCCCTGGGTCCAGCTCTACGAAGCTGTGTGTCCCTGGACCCCAGAGCAATTTCCCCTTTCAGCCTCCCTGAAACATCCTGTAAAGCTTAGTTATTCTAGACCTGAAGAACAGAGGTATCTTTTCTTCCCCATCTGTAGTAGGTAATAATGATGTTCTCCTCTAAACCTGTATTTCTGGAATTTCTGTAGTGTTACTGAGATGTTTTTAGGAGAATATTTTCTTTCTTCTCAGAAGAAATCAATGTCAGAATATTGGGCACCTGTTCTCTCTCTATAAGGAACAGTCTCCCCTCTAATTATAGAAGTAATTTAAGCTTACATAAAAAACAAAATAAGGAAAAGGAGAAAGAAAAATCTCCCAAATCCTATTATTCAGCTACAACCACTGTTGAATGTTCTTCTTGCTTCTTCCCCCATGTTAAGAAAAACAACAACAACAAAAAGCAAACAGCTCATGTATCATACCCTGCTTTTTTTCTTTTAACCTATAGCATCATATTTTCCCCTGTTTTTATGGATGACTCCTAATCATCATTAGGAATTTAAAAAACCTCTTGTCTTGTTTAAACACGATTGTTAATGATTGTATGTTATTCTGTCATGTGGTTGTGACATTAGCTTTCAAAAAAGTCTGAGGTTGGAGCCTAGATGAAAGTTAAGGATGTAAATGTCACACCTGTACACCTACCCTCCCTTACCCCCAAACCTCTGCACAAAGGTCTGGATTTTGTAATTTGGGGCAAAATTATCCTAGCTTTTACAAAGTGTTTTCTTTCCTCTGTTAAAGGAAAGAGATTGGTTAAATACCTCAAATCAGTAAAGCACAGAATGCTACACCTGGAAGAGACACTGGACAATCATGTGGCCCACTTCACCATTTCACAGGTGAAGAAATTGAGGTCCAGAGGGGCCAGGTAATTTTCAGCTAATCAGGGGAAGACCCAGGGCCAGAAGCCTGGGAGACAGTATTAGTAAAGGCATGCTTGAGTGTAAACCCTAACTCACCCACCCTCTCAAGGGCAATCAACTTACTCTTCTCATGCCTTTTTTTTGGTGAGGAAGATTAGCTCTGAGCTAACCTCTCTTACTAATCCTCCTCTTTTTGCTCAGGAAGATTGGCCCTGGGCTAACATCCGTGCCCATCTTCCTCCACTTTATATGTGAGATGCCTGCCACAGCATGGCTTGATAAGCTGTGCATAGGTCTGCACCCGGAATCTGAACCTGTGAACCCTGGGCCACTGAAGCGGAGCATGAAAACTCAACCACTACGTGACTGGGCAGGCCCCTTCCCATACCTTTTAAAAAATAGAGATATAGTAGTATCTCCCTCCTGAGGTTGTTGTGAGGATTAAATAAACTAAGTATGTGAAGGTTCCAGCATAGTGACTGGCACATAGTAAATGTCTTATTATTGGTATTATCATCGTCCTTGTCTTCATCACCATCATCATCAATGCTCTCATCATGACATCCACCTTCTGTAGTTGAAGGGCTACAAGGGAGATAGAAAGATTCAGTTTGAAATTAAGTATTAGGCCCATGAGGAGAATTACTTTCAGATACTCCTCTAAAATTCCATGTAAGGCTTCATGTGGTGATTTGCATATAAAAACTGAAAAAATTGTCTAAAACCCACCATTTTTTAGATTTCTTGAGGGAATGACTGCATTCAGCTTCGTAATCCCTCAGATGTCTTACACATGGTTAAAATTCAATAAATACTAGTGAATATGAGTAAATATTTGCTGTAGATGAGGAGAGAGAGTGTTGATCCGAGTATCAAACAATGTGGATCCTCACTTGCCACTTCCTAGCTGTTTGAGCAGGTCATTTGATTTACCCAGGGCTCAATTTTCTCAGTTGTAAAACCAATCAGGTAGACCATGATCTTCAAGTTGCTTTCTATCTTTAAGTGTAGGATAGAATCCTACATAACAGTCAACATAAAATTATAATTTTACCAAGATCAGCAAAGAGCACCAGACCTGTGATTATATAAACAGGAAGTCACTGAGTTCTGATTATCTTCAGATAATAGTGTTAGAGGTTTTCTTGAACTCATTTCGTGGCCTTCCGCTTTTCTTCTCGGAGTTGGGGGACTCTGCAGTCCATTGGAATTCAATTAGGATTTCAGTCTTGCAACGTGGTAGCTAGATCAGCTTCTTGGATATGCACCGAGGTGTGGCAACTCTCTCCTTACTCAGTATTTATGAGCTGGAGGGCTCCTTATCTGGAGGAGTGGCTCCTCCAGAGTGCCTGGAGCTGGAGCTTAGCTGCTGCTCCCAGATTCATGTAGAGGGTTTCTCTAGGGTGTGTGTAAATGTTTGACCTTGGACAGAGGAGAAAAAGAAATATGGACCTATTTGAAAGATTTGTTTACTTGTTCTTAAATAGGCTGAAATACCATGACTGCTGATTTTCGTAACCAGCCTGGAATTATATTCAGGAACTGTGTGCTAATGCTTGTGGTAGAGAGAACAAGGCACTTCAGGAGTTAAGTATTGAGGGCTTCAGATATTTACCAATGCAAGGTGATTTTGTTGGAATAGGGAATTTTGTTGACGCCCATCATATTCAGAGAGAGGACATTCTAAGAATGATCATTTTGTCCTTCCTTCTTGTGTTTTTGGGCCTTGATAAGATAAGAAGCATTTTATGTTCTGTGGGTTAATCCACACATTTAATGTGGCTAGGCTAATTATTTATAAGGATAGCCCAAATAAAATTTTATTGGTTTTGGTTTGTTGTTTTATTTCTTCCCCCACAGAACTTCTTGATCTTTGGAGCCCCAGGGTTTGGCACAGTACATGGTCAAAATGAAGGGGCTAAATAAATAATTGTTGGAGAAATAACTGGTTAAGCCAGATTGAAAGATGAAAGAAGATGGCTATTTTGTGTCATAGTTTTAAGTGGACACATTGTTTTTGGTGACATTGTGATGAGAGCCTCCAGTAAGTGTGAATTTCATATCTATGACACTATTGCAGAACTTTCCATATTTCTTTCTCACCTTTTTGTCTCCAATAAATGCCCAGGCCGTGTCCACTGAGTGGCCCCATTGTTCCCGGGGCAGCGAACAATAGCTACACTATGTCTTCAGGTGAATTTTTGAATCTTATTTTTGATTTAATGATTTGTTTTAAAATAATAACGATACCTAAAATATAAAAGGTCAGAAAATACAGTTAATCTCCCTCAGTGTAAAATTACCACACATAAAACCTTTTGAACTTTGGGAGCAAAAATCTCCAATTAAGTGTAAATATATGTGTACAGGAAGAGTTGGAAATGGCTAAAGCTGTAACAATTCATGAATTGTTCTTGTGCATAAATTGACAAGTTAAATTGTGTAGTTTTAGTTCTGCTTCATGCCTCTGTTATTTTAGCTCAGATGAGTTGCCAAAACAAAGTGTTGACTATGCTTGGCTCTTCAGTGAGAAATACAAAAATTTTAGCAATTGAAATAAACCTTTGAAATGCAAGGAGTTTCATTTTTTTATGGTATATAAGCATCTATTTGTTTGAAGAGAAAAATGGGTGATCATTTGTGAGTTTTCTAATTATTCTCTGCTCTGGTCAGTTATTTCGTGTTTGTGAAGTAGAGGGGCTACCAACACTTGTTTTGTCATTTTCCAGCTATTTTATTTTTTGTATCCTAAGAAAATGTGTACAAAGCATAAAAAATATCTTAACATTTTTACATATGATCTGCAGCTGCTTCAAGTACATTCTTAACTTGCTTCCTGTCTGCTTAATATAATCATTTTGTAAGATAGATGGGGGCAGTGTACATTGATCTCAGCTTCTAATCCATGTCTCTCTTTATTATTTTGTGTAAAGATATAATACCCGAGATGATAAATGTGGCAGTGATTTTTATGAGAATCAGAGTCTAGGGGTTAGGTACAAATATGGTTTGGGGATAGTCCTGATCATTCTTTTCC